AATATAGTGCTAATTTTTCTTATAAAGGAGCGTGGAGCTTAGTTGGTTAAATGTGACAATTGTTCCACGAGAGTTATGAGTTTAAACCTAAATGTAAAAAAAAATTCATGCGCCATTGACTCCAATCAAATGTGAGATAAAATAATGTCATATTTTATTTTTGAATCATTATATACTAGCACTTGAAGCTAAAATTTTGATCAAATTTTATGGCAAACAGAAAAAAAAATCATAATTGAACACTAGATATATTTTTAAATGTTTGGATTAAGATTTCTTTTCCTTTATTATAATTTACAAGTAACCATCTTTATATTTCACTTGGTTCGGATATTACTATTAATTTATTATTTTTGCTTGTCTATTTTAACAAATAAAGTCATATTCTATTTAGGTACTTCTTAAATAAGAACATAAATCAATAGCAATCAAATTTAAAATATCATAATATTTTTTATCAAATTAATTAATAAAATACATTTCTAGTACAAGATACATAAGAATCGTATCAAAAGTTAACATGAGTTAGGTAAATATTATATTGAAATGGAGGGAGGAATGGTTAAACATGATTACGATTAAAGAGAACACCAACTCATATATGTATCATCTAAATTAAATAGATCTTTAGTTTGTTACGGTATATTAAAAGTGCTTGTTCTTAAAAAATATTTATTGTATTTTTATATATACTATCCTTTAAAAAATGTTAATTAGGATGAATATTTTTTCCTAATTTGTATCTTGGTGTTTCTAATTTTTTAGAACATTTACTATTAAAGATAAATTTTATTTTAAAAATATAAAATAATGTTTTTTAAGATGAGAAAGAGGAAGGGGTTATAAAATTAACTAAAAATGGAGTGTAATGGTCAATAATTGAATTTCTTAATTAAATAATGAAAATTAAGTCTAACTAATTTATTCTTTATAAGTCTTTTTTTTAATCATTGTAATATTTAATTTGTACTATCTTTGTAACCTCAACTTTTTTTTTTAGCTACTATGAATAAAAAAGAATTGTGATGTAATAATAAAGACAAGATATGTAGAATTTAATTCCATAACTTTGTAGTTAGGTGCGCATCTAGAGAGAGATTCTTTATTTTAGCCTAATTTTATTATTATTCAATAATTCACCTTTGATATTTATGTCCTACAAAACGCTTTAATCTTTTAACATGTGGGGTACTTGGCTTTTAATATTATTTAGTCCAAAGTGTCAAAGAATTTTTATATAGTATTATTTTTTTAATCCGATGTGGATACCAATTTAAACTTAATTTACTGTATAATTAAGCATGTCATTATCTTTTGAGAATTTTTTTTTCCAGTTCCCTTTAAATGGAAACTTGGGATCGGGGTGTATATGGTAATAAGTTGGAATACGATTTTTTTTTATTATTATTTTTATTCGATTCAAACTCAAAACTTTCGATTAAAGATAAAAGATTATTCATCACTTCACGACAATCTTTATCGGTGGATTCAAGAGAAAGTTCAAACACAAGAAAAAAATTTAAAAAAAATAAAATTAGTTGACCTGAATAATAAGATATATATTTTTTTTTGTGATTTTAAAAAATTACATGCCTAATAGAACAATATATTGATAAACGCACCAAGAAGATAATTTTATCATCACATTTTCATTACTCCTAAATCTTTATTATTGACTCGTTGACTGTAATAATCTCATTTATTTATTTGTTTATTTCCCTTAGCATTTTTGTCTTTTTTATTTTCATAAGTACGATTTGATAGCATTATCATTTTGTGCTCTTTTTTATGCATTGATAAATTACATCAAGTCCAAGTGTGGTTTTCTTTATGATAATACAATAGATAGTAGATTAATTAATCTTTCGGTTAAGATAATCAAGGTGCAATTTCATGAGTAAGCTGATAAATAATTCAATCATTTTTAATCAAAAAATTTATGTTATTTGTCAAAATAAATTTAAAAAATATTAAATTAACGACCAATAAAATTGACCTTATCATAAAGAATTTCTTTTTTTAAAAAAAGTAAACACATGATATCATTGCATCTAGAAAACTTGGTTGAGAAAAAATTGCAATTGGAGTGGATATTCTGGTCAATTTAATAATGTTTTCCCTACAAGAGCTCCTTAATTAATTATTGTTACTTTTCTAACTATCCTTTAATAATGCATAATGTCACATCATATTATATATTAGCGGTGGATTATTAAACTACTAGTAAAAGTTCTCTTTCTATACTAGAACTAGAAAATGGAGAAAAATAAATATGAGTTCGGAGTCTAAAGAAGGAAAAATATTAATAAAAATTTTAAAATGGTATATGATTTTTTTTAATCAAAACGGTAAAATCACTTATGAAGTAGTGATTTTGTCCTCTTGAAAAAGTAAAAAATCGCTGCAATAATAGCGATTTGTTAAATTTGATTTTTTTTTATAAAAGAATTAAACAAAATCTCTCCCAAAGGAGCGATTTTCAAACTATTTTTTTTTAATATGTCGCTGCTGAAGCAACGACTTAAGTTTAAGTTTTTTTTTTTAAAAATCAAACCGCAATGATTTTCAATTAAATTTTTTTCTTTTTTTAAAATCAAAACGCTAAAAAAGATTTTGATTTAAAATTGCTACCTTGAAAGCGATTTGATTTTAAAAAATTTAATTAAAAACCACTGCAATTTTTTTTTTTAAAAAAAAAATTATTTAAACTAAAAAAAAATTGAACTCAAGTCGCTGCCTCAACAGCGACATAACAAAAGTATAATAATAATAATAATAATATATATATATTTTGAAAATCGCTCCTTCGGGAGCGATTTTATTTTAATTTTTTTTTTAAAAAAAAATCAAATTTAGCAATTCACTGTTATAGCAATGATTTTATTTTTTTCAACGGACAAAATCGCTACTTAGTGAGCGATTTTGCCGTTTTAGTTAAAAGAAAAAATTCATACCGCTTTAAAAATTTTGTTAACATTTTTCACCCTTTAGACTCCGATATTGCTAGAATATCTTTGATATTCCTTTGTAGAAATCAAAATTGATATATTTTTTTAATCATGTAAGAATATTTTTGAATTGATTGTCGTATCGCTTTTTAACAAGCTATGAATAATAATTATTATTTTAATAATTCATTTTTTTTAACAAAATAAGAAAAACTTTTTAATATAATAATTATTAATTGGATGATCATATAAAAAATAAACTCGAATATTTTTATAAATTGCAGCAGAATATCGCAATTATATTTTTTTAAAAACTTAAAATAAAGTAAAAATTAGTAGATGTGCTAGTTTGAGGACCACCTCAATCAATTAGCATCATGGAAAATATTTGATCGATCACCAAGAAGCTTATAGTACATTTCTCTTGCCATTATTCGAGATTTTTGTCCGTTTATACAACTACAACTAATTATATTATGTTGAATTCATACAAAGTATTTTTTATAATTATATAATTAGAGACTAATGTAGAATTTAAGTTTAACTGATTCCACCAGTAGGCGATTTTACTATTGGACTAATCATATATTTTTGAAGTTTTGGTTCAAATTTTAATTTTTATTTATTTGTTTTTAATGAGGCAGTGGGCAGAATGATTATTTGTTTATTTTTTTCTTAATTAATTTCCATCTAAGACTATTTTATCCATGATTACAAACAGTGAAATTTAGTTGGGAACATCAATATAGAAAGGAACAAAAATGGTAACCCCACCATTTTTAGTGGATTTACTTTTTGTCTTTGTGAGATCAAGTATTATTGATAAAATCATTTAACAGCTAGCAACGAATTGATTCGTCAAGATAAAGAGTATTTTTAAGGTTTTGTAAAAGGGCAACGTGATACACACATCAATGATAAATTTAACTAATTCACGGACGTCACGACAGACGGTGAATTTTATATCAGTATTTAAAAATTTTTATATTGAATTCATTATATTTTTAAAGTTATTGATTTATATGATATGCTATTTGTTGAAGTTTACAAAATATTTCACTTATAATTTATATTCAGCAATAACAGTATTGATTTACGTGAATTTAATATTAACAAGCTTCATAGAAACTATAATTTTTATTAGTAGTAATTTTTGTATTAATAAAGTGATGAAGTATTTTGTAATTTTTAATAAAAATATATAATTATATGATCATACGTGAAATTTACCTGAAATTAGGGCAGTGAGGCCATTGATGAAGGGAGTTACAACGGTACAAGAGGCATTAATGGTGAATATGAAGATCATGGCATACATTCCATTTCTAGTATTTTTTTGATTAGCACCAAGGTCAAATTAATTGCGATAGCTTTGCAGACGTTACATATTATATAGCAAGCCAACCACTTATTTCTTCTTTAATAATAATGCCTTTGTATATTGTAATAGTATATCTTTTTTTCCTCTGTTGTAATTATTTTTTTATTTTTATTTTCATTCGATGTTTTGGAGCCTACAATAAAGTTTTGATTAAATTCGAATCACACATATCAAAGACCATTCAGAGATGACTCGCCCAACATAATTTTCTCCATACTTAGGATTTTGAACCTGAAAACTTTAATGAAGAGCGAAACAAATGCATCATAACTTTAAAAGAAAAAAAAAACTCGACACACGAGTATAAATATATGTGTGATATTGTAACAAATACATATTAAACGACTCTTAAGATGTATTTGCTTTTGCTTTGAAACACCAATGTTTTCTTTCAACAAAAACTTTAACGTATTATACAATTTTCTTTCTTTGTTAAAGCTGGATGATCTTGTGGGCTGATCCCGTCTCATTGGGCTCAAATATTTCCTGAAAGCCCATCCAGGGTTGTTTTGGTGTTTTTGGTACGATTTATAATGAAAATATTTTTTTGAAAAATAAACAGATTTTTATTTATTTTTTTAGTGTCTTAAAAATAAATAAAAAATATTATTTTAAAAATAATTATATTTTATCTAATAAAACAAAATGGAGGTAGGATAAAAATGAGAATCGGGATAAGGGGGATTGTCAAAGGGGTGAAAGGTTGGAGGAATAGAATGGGTGGAAAGGAGATAATCAACTTGAAATGTAAAAAATAATTTTTCTCATTTAAAAGGAATTTGTTTTCTTAGAGATTAATTAAATATGACAAATCTGAAAAATAATATGAAAAAAAATGTTTTTATTTTCAATTTGAAAAAATGATATTGAAAATTAGAATCTTCTTTTTTTTTCGGCAGACTCTGCGGGGAGGAAACCGTATGCTGCTTCAGCTTCTGTTTCGGCCAAATACGAAATCACGCCGGATAACAGGTATCGTCTTCTCCGACTACCGGAGCTCAGATTTTCTTATTGAGTTCAAAACCCTAGGTTTTCTATGCTCCATGCCTTTTGTTTGATTGATTGAAATTGAAAAAAACCCCGCTAATTTTAGGTCGAGTAGCGTATTAATTTCTCACATGTTCATGTTTGTCTCTTCTAACAGTGTATCTTGTTGGATTTAAGTAGATAATGCTTGATATCTCCAGAATAAACTAGTTAATCCTTTACTTAATGACGACTACCTAGGTTTGAGGAATTGGAATATTGCAATGAATCCGTTGACGCTAGTGAAGCGTATTCAAAATATTAATGCAAAAGAAGCATCTTTAGGGATCTCCGATCAGGCATCCTGGCATGCTAGATACAAAGATTCAGCTTATGTATTTGTTGGCGGAATTCCTTTTGACCTCACTGAAGGTGATCTCCTAGCTGTTTTCGCCCAGTAAGTAATCTTACTCTTTGAGCATTTCTCATGCCTTGCCCACTTTGTTTTGTTTTCATCTAATAGAAGCGTCTTATGGGTTCTTCGATGTTAATTAGGTATGGGGAGGTTGTTGATGTCAATCTTGTTAGAGATAAAGGTACTGGCAAGTCAAAGGGTTTTGCTTTTGTTGCTTATGAGGATCAAAGGAGTACGAATCTCGCTGTGGGTATGTCTCTATCTCTCTCTTTCTTTTCTTCTGTTAGCTTCAACCATAGAAAGAATTTCTAGTGCTTGATTTATCGTTTTTTTAACTGATGATAAGCTTTTAGATAAGGTTACTTTATTCAACATATTTTGGCTAGGTAACTCACTTTTTTGGTATTGAACTTGTAGATAACTTAAACGGTGCTCAGATCCTGGGTAGAATAATCAGAGTCGATCATGTTACCAACTATAAAAAGAAAGAAGAAGAGGATGAAGAGACAGAGAGGAAAAAGAGGGAGGAGCGAGGGGTCTGTCGTTCTTTCCAGAGGGGTGAATGCAATCGTGGTGCTGCTTGCAAGTTCTCTCACGATGAGAAGGTTTGTTCTTAGTCTTTCCTTTTGTTCTTGTATATTGTCTTGTTTCTTTATATGTCATCTTCTATGTAATGTTATTGTTATTATAATTTCGGTTGTGATAGTAGTTTGGGAAGTGTAGTCACTTCTGAATTTGTATAATGCATGTTGCTTTGGTTCAGTCTGTGTGTTGTAGTTTTTGCAAGTTGAGTTCAACAGCAGTATCTAGACATATGCTTTACCAGGAGGTAATAGTTGCAACAGCTTCTTCAAATGTATGACTGAATATGTTAGGGATGGCTAACACACTCCTCTGTCGGTTTAGAACAAAAAAACACACACACACACACTCCTCTGACGATTTTGACTTTGACATGTGTATTGGAGAAAACACCAACATACCCGGTGTAATCCCCATGTAATCCCAGTGTTCTGGGAGAAGATGATCGAATATCGCTTAAGATTGTGTAATTCTTCATATCATTGCATTTAGGTGGTAACATTCCCATTTCATAAAACTTCAGTCTGAAAGGTAGTGAAACCCAATAGTCCTAGTTTTGACCAATATCTTGAGCAAGCTGTTGAATGTTGAAATGAGATTTATTTGTTCTCCTGCACTTAAGGGTGTGAGTAGTGAGTAGCAGTCGATGAACTGGAATGAAAACTAAAGGAGATCAAAATTTAACAGTCTTTTGTTCCATAGTTAGGAGTTTTTCTCATTACCTCATTAGGAAATTGGGTTATCTTTCTTATGATCTTAGGTCTTAACTGCTGCTAGTTTCCTTGCATAGCACAATTTTACTAGCTTTCTTTTGGAGAAGCAGCGCCTTTGTCTTTCAAAATTGTCTGCTGATTATTTTCTGGAAGCTTTACTAAACTAAGGTGATCATGCGAGTTTCCTGTAAAAATGAAACAGGAAAGCAGATTTTTTCTTTTCTCACAACGCTCTGTTATCTCTTGACCCTCTTTCTCCATTTGGAGATTTCAGCTTTCTAAACTTTTAAGACATTTTTTATATATATAGGGTACTAAAAGTCAATTTTGTTTTTGCCTTTAGAGAGCTGCAAACACAGGTTGGGGTGCTGAGGAAGATCGAAGTTTGAGATGGGCCCATGATAAAGCTGAAGATTCTAAGAAGGATGGAAGATCTGGCCAATGGGGTCGGCCTCCTCGGCCTGACTACAAGGAAGAGGTCAAAGTCTCTGATAAAGATCCAAGAAATTCTAAAGCAAAAATTACTGATGTAGAAAGGCATGAGCAGAGAGATTCAACTGCAAGAGATCATTATAAGAGAGATTCAACTGCAAGAGATCACTATAAGAGAGATGTCGAGCAGCACAGGTCAGAGCGGAAGGAAAAGGGAAGTAATTACAAAGAAGATGATCTGGATAGGTCACATGTGGAGAGAAGATCTAGGCGGTATGATGATGTACAAGACTCGGGGGAAGCTATTGGGAGAAAATCTAGGAGGCATGATGATGTGATCTCAAAGGAATACGATGATAGGAAAGACGAAAGAAGACAAAAAAGATATGAATCTGAATCTTATCATACAGAAAAAAGAGAAAGCAGGGAAATGGAGAAACGATCTCGCCTCCACCGTGATGGACGGGATGAAGAAGATCGGAGGCAAAGATCACATAGATGATGGTCCCCTGATTTTTGACTTCAGCTTTATGCCTTGCACTGGTGCTTAGATGACTACTGAATTGTATTAAATTTTGCTACTTCAGTTCCAATTTCAAGTACAATGCCATATCTGACGGCCAAGGTGATCTACCTATATACATGAAAGAGCTGTCTCAGAAAGGGGCCACCTGAATCGGAATCTCGGCCTCTTGTGCTCTATACAAGGGATGGCGAGTATTAGCATCTCAAATATCTCGGTGCAATTAAAGGTGTTGCTGGAAGGATACAAGTTGCCATTTACTGTACTTATAAGCTGATTCTCCATTTTGGCTTGAAAGAACAAAATATTCCGTTACATTTGATTTGGTATTCTTAAAGTTTCCATGAAACTCAACTTCTTCGAACGTGAGATCCCATTTTGACCTGTCACAACGTTGTAGAACTTGACAATTCACTAATTTTCAGCGCGATACCTATTAGCTTTACCTGCTCTATAAGTTGAGTAATGCATTTATTTGGATTACTGGCCCTTGTTTCTTGGTTTGCTTGTCATTATGATCGAACTGCAACCAGTTGTCTAGTTACTTTTTTGCGATAGCTTTTACAGTTGTAGGTGACCAACAACACAAAGGTATGACATTGCTCATGGTACAGTTGTTCTGCTGGACTCAAGTCTGAAGCTTTTTTTATGTTGAGGTACAGACTGAATTCTGGTCCTTGAATAAAAGGACAAAGTCATCATTTGTCAGCTTAAAAATATCAACCACATTGCACTGTTTCGAACTAGAACATGAGTTATTAGAAGACTAACATTGAGAAACAAGGATAGTATTATGTTGACAAATGAGGCATCTTTATCAGCAATACTACGCAGTGTGGAGTCAAGAATTGACTCGAAAGGAATTTGATTTTGCATCCACACTTAAAGACAGTCTTTTTCCACAGAAATGACTCCAAGATGACCAATCCTCTAGCTTAATCCTAGTGCCCATCTTTTTCTTCCATCAAGCAATGAACGGAAAAAGGACTCCAATAAACAACTGAAGAAACAGAGAGAAGAATGACTAGAGGTTTAAAGAACAGCTTCAAAGATCAGAAAATAAATTTCCGAACTCTTTTGAGTCCTGTCATGTCAAACCATGTCTATTCTAACAACTCCGAGTGATATCCAACAGCAGTTCACAGAACACTGTTTGTGCATCTTCCTTCGACAACAGTACATAATTCTCTCATCTTACATCAACCGAAAGAGAACAAACAAACAAATTTTTGATATCAGTGCAACAGTTCCTGCAATCGAATGTTGTCATCCAGAATTAGATATCAGCGTCAAGAAAGCTCGCGGAAAGCGTAACCTGCAAAGGAGAGACATAGCGGTGTCAGACTCTCACAATACTATCACAATGCAAACAAGAACACAATAAAATCAACAACGATCAGGACTACCCTAAAATCATCCCTCAGTGAAGCACCTCATCAAGTGTCATAGCCCTAAATGATAATGTTGGATAATGACACACATTTTAACAAGAATCACAAACCAACCACCAACCAAATCCTCAGTAGCATCAATTTGATGGCCAAGGCTCCACCAATGTTCAATAAACTATCAAGCTGAATGGTCATCGAGAATTTTATAATGAAAGATAATGCTAGCTACCCCCCGAGAATTCACTACGTCCATCTCCTAGAGATTATTCTTTGGAAAGTAAATGATATCTAAAATTTAATTCATTTAGAATTCAAAAGAAACAACAGCAGCTGTATGATCAATGACCAGAAGATAAGAGAGAATGTCGTTTTTCAATGATTCGGTGGGGGAAAAGACATCAATAACTCAAATCATTTATCAGACCAATTAGAAAAAAGACTGCACTATGCAGTCAACAACGGATGGAGAACTTGAATGTCTAGGCCAAATGAAGATGCACCACAATGTCAAACAACTCAAATGATTTAAGTATACAGTTTGATCTTTACATCCATGATGAACATAATAACAAACATTGTGCAGAGTTTGATCATTCCCTTCTCATATTATGTTTCCCAAACATCACAAGTATAGACCCCCCCCCCCTTCTTTGCAACACTGCAACACTTCTTCCACATGTTCTCAGAGTTCAAAAAACTTAAGTCCCATTGCAATTAACACTGCCGTCTGAATTACAAAATGTTAGTAATTGTTGTGCCTTCCCGTATACTGCAATCTTTTTCCTCTAGTAAGTAATAGATATATTAATAGAAACTTATTCCAGTACAACACAACCGACCTCACAGAGAAAAAGAACAGAAACGAAGCTTGTGCTTGACATGTACCTTTTCACCAAGTTTGAATGGAGGAAGACCCTTATAAGGGCATGTACCGCAACGGAAAGCATCACCTAGACCACACTGTAAACATAGAAGATGTCACCCAAAAAAAATAAATTAAAAAGAGAACCAAATGCAAAAACTTAAAAGGAAGATCGAGAATGATAAGGACGAAGAAAGAAACCAACTAGTTGTTCAGCTGTCTATTAATCACACTATAAACATCAATCAATTAACGAATGCACAAATTTGGCAATATTGACAATTGTCATGCACTTGGTTTGAATTTACCAGCAGAAACTACTTAACTAATGTACTCAGTCCTATAAAACTGGAGTGCTTTAGAGCTTGAAATAAGAAAATGAAATAGGAACAACCACGTTGGTCGGACCGAGATAGTGTCCAATGAAACACATGATTGTTATCATTTGTTATTTAGTTCCCTTTCTTACATCCATAGCAGCCAATTCTTTTTTTTGCATTTTATAGGGATCAGAAGGAACCATGATACTGACTCCCGGGTGGAAATATCATACTTCCCTTGCTTCTCAAAGGGATCTACTAGTTAGGCAAAAAGAGTAATCAACTATAAGACAATATCGATGTAGAAGAAACCATACACTGCCACAAGCAGACTGAGGATTATCCAGTTGTTCAGCAGTTGGCCCAAGTTGCACTTTAGTCTCTGCTTCAGCACGTCCGCACGAACAATTTTTGCATGCTTTCTTTGTTTTTCCAACTTCACAATCCCCAACTACACCAGCAAGTGAGCAACAAATTGAGTTCAATCTACTACTGATAAAACTAATAATGTCAGAGATAAACAACCTTATTGCACTTCTCTTACCATTTGGCAATTGAGGTTTCTTCAGATCTTCTTCAGTGAGAAGGCTATCCTCATCAATGAGATCTGAATCATCATCAATCTGAACTTTCGGTAAACTTTTCGTGATTTTCTTGATAGAGAAGGATGAACCAACTTTCCATGAAGGTTTCTTTGCTGTTATCTGTTGACAGATTAAATCAGCCATAAGTCGTATCAATAACTTCAAGGCTTTTTTATACATTTTTTATACAACATCTGTGCCCCAATCCCAACTTAATTGAGGTTGGCTATGTGAATCCTCTAATTGCATTCCACTTCATCCGGGCACATTTCATTTGACTACTCAATTAATCATTTAGAACAGGTGGAGGTTCTCTAAAACTAGGTATTCTCTAGATCTCAATGTTGGGACCATCATAGAATATTGAACCGACCCAAAAAGACTACTATCAAACACTAGATACTGTCACTATGAAGATTAACTTCAAGACTTTTAAAGAACATCAGTGTATAAGAGGGCCACACCAATAACAATAAAACCACAGGTCGCAGTTGAAAACTGATAAAGATCAAACCGTATTATCACTTCAGTGCCTAGAGTAGCAGCACACCTATATAAAGCCATGGACGACTCTAATGCCATGAAAAAAGCTGTTAAGAATCTTATCAAAACTTCTTTATTTATAAAGCGAGGTGTTATCACAGTTTAAAACAAGGAAAGTAACATTAAAGTGGCGAGCATGCGGAGGAAGAAAAGAAGCAAGATATAAGGCACATGGATGAAATACTAACCATGATAGAGTGGCCGGCTTCAGATGACTGGGCATCAGAGAATCCAGCCAACAATAACTTGCGCTCGTGGGTGGAGTTTGCCTGCTATACCGAAAGGACAGTTCAGAGCCCACACAAGTTCTCCACGGAAAAAGTATGTACAAAGAGACATTTCACACACCTTCGAGACTGATTGAGAACTTAGGCTAAGTAGGACTGTTCCACCTGGTTTCAACACTCTTGAGATGTCCCCACACATTTTATCACTAGGAAACTCGAGGGACCTGCATATGAGAGCAACAATATCCCTAGATGCAGACTCCACTGATGTCAGACCTGTAATAACCAGATTTTAACATAGGAAAAAAGAATACATCATCATGGCCAAGGGACAAGCACTTACAAGATAGAGTTACAAGATGATTAAGTAGAGGTCGCAGAGAGGGAAAACAGAAAGGAAAAAAAGACGAGTTTGCACTCTTTCCTAACCAACTTGAGAACTTCTTTCTCCACACATGCTTCTCTCTCTCTCTCTCTCTCTCTTACACACACACACACACAAAGAAAACAAAACAAAAGTTCATGTTTTAAAGGCGTAATTATGGTAAAGAAGAGCAGCTATTTTCTTCTGTTTCCTAACCAATAGCAATCTTTTTTTGATATGTTTTAACATTGCAATAAAATTTTTCTTTGATAGTATAAACATAGGAACAGACTTAAGAAGCCAAGAGAATCATAAAATCCATATAGACGCACATCCCAAAATGAAGAGATAAACATCCGACTGCTGAAAAAGAAGTGAGCAGAATATTGACACAGAAAACAAAATTGAGTCACTCGTGATCACAGCATAAGCAAGCTAGAGAAGTATCACTTAGCAGACATCAAGGAGAGAATTTTACTCTGGGTTGAAGCTTGAGTTACAATCATAGGGTCCAACTTCTCAACTCCCTCTTTCTTCAAGATACTGATGGCATTGTATACCAAGCTAATTGGTACCATAACATCCTCGACAAGCACCAATATACTACCATCTCCAACTTGACCGTCCTACAAAAGAATGAAAACCCGAATTTAGAGAAAAAACAATCATACATCCCCAAAACTAAAAGATAGAACAAGTTTGCAACATTAACATCTCATGGAACCGTGTTAGCAAGAAAACAACCCACTCCACCTTCCCCTAAAGAAGTGGCAAAATGACCAAATTGAGGCTCAAACAAGGAAAACTAATTCAATTTCTTTTATACTACCACAATTTTATGCTGTAGGTACATAAATGCAACACCCTAACACTAGAATCTTGAAAAGGAGGTTAGTTTACCCATGCGAATACACAAACATAGGCATGTGAAGATCGTTCATTAACTAATGATGAGCCTATCACAATAAATTGACCTAACTGTGTACATTCCAATTCGGAATAAGAACTGATAAGAGATAAACACTTAGCACATACAAGTTACTTCTGCCCATTGATTTTAACCTAATAAAGTTCTACACAAACTCACGATAAAAAGAAAATAAATACGAGCTCTAGAAACACTGGAAAGATGGAAAGTTCAATTTCGAAAGAAAGAACAAATACAAAAAACTCACCATATTGAATAAGAAAACAGTTGAATCGGAAATACTAAAAAACTTCAGGCGATGGATGATCGGAGATCGGAGTTGTGCGGCGGTGAAGTCAGAAGTGCGGGTCAAAAGTGGACAAATGTATCTGCTTTTTATTTGTCTTCAAACCAATTTATACTTTTCTCTTTCTGTAAGTTTGTCGACTACCGCCTTTGCACTAGGTTATAACCGACTTCAACTAATTGGGTCGGGTCTAAACATTAATCTCACCTTATTTGGTGTTTATATTTTAATAGAGAAAATGTACAAGTAGACTCGAAATTTTAGAGACATATTTATATTATATTAATGTTTCTATTTTTTTGACCTGTGTGACACTAGTTTTAAAAAAAAGTTAATTATTGTTGGGCTACAAAATAGTGTCATGTAGGCCCAAAGGGGGTAGAATATTATAAATAAAATAAGTTCAGGAGATAATAAGACCTTAGTATAGTATAAGTTTGTCTCTAAGATTTTGGTCATAGGTCGAGGGATACTTGTGCATTATCCCTATTTTAATATTTCGATTTTTTTAAATATTACTTTTTCTATCATATTTTTTTGATACATAAGTTTAAATTTATGAGATACATATATTTAATTTTAAAATAGAAATATGTATTTTCATTTATTTAAATTAATTAGTTATAACGAATTTCTTTAACCAGATGTGTAATTGAGGATTTTAAATATACTTGAACAATTAACTCTGGAAATTTAAATTAATTAAATCGCTTAATATAAGGTGGAGATCAAGCAATATATCTATGTTTAATTAAATTTATTTTATTATTTTTTAAAATAATAAATTCATTAATATTATTAATAAAAAACAAAAACATATCAATTTCATACATTATATCCGAAAACATGTATCTCAAATAAATATAAAAATAGCTAAATACATTGTAATAACATAACAAATATACATGATAATATTAAGATACATGATAGAAGACTAGATACATATTACAAGATTCGGATACATGACCGAATAAATTGTGTCAAATACATGCGTAAATTTCTAATAATACGTAAAATATCCGTATATTAATTAGATATATACATACTTAATAAGATATTCTAATTAAAACTAGATACATATAATTGATATCAATAATGTATTAAATATATCAATAATGTGTCAAAAACATGCATTAATCTTTGCTTATTGAAACTTTTTGTTAAGTTCATGGCTGGTCAAGACAACTCACCGCAATGATAGTTGTTTCATGTTGATCAATCGGTGTTATTCACTGCCCCTACGACGGGAGAGGTGCACGAAATTTTTTGGTTGATTTTAGTATACAGGGTAAGCAAGCAATTCCCTTTCATACTCTCTCATACTCTCTTACGAGAGAAAAATGATATTTATTTTAAATCAAAACACTATTTTTAAAGTTTAAGCGTAAATATAATTAATCAATCCTAGTTTTAAGGGAGGTGGGTAAGAATGATATCTTCAATAATATATGATATAAAATATTAAAAGTGATGATATATGTAATTGTTTGAAAGTAGAGGTAAAATTAGTATATAGGATAATGATGTATGTCTAATAAAATAGTTTATTATTAGTGATCCAAAAATATATTTGACTTTTTCTCTTTGAAATTTAAGATTTACATTTGTTAAGAGAATGAAAGAAAGACCAAGAGAGTTTTGAGATTTAAGATCGCTAAGAGATTGAAAGAAAGACCAAGAGAGCTTTGAGATTTAAGATTGCTAAGAGATTGAAAGAAAGGCCAAGAGAATTTTGAGATCGCTAAACAAGTGAAAGAAAGACTAAGAGAGTTTTGAGAAGGCTTTGTATATTGTTTTACAACTTGTTTGGATTGCTTGTTTTAAGGTTGGATGATTTACAAATAAGAGGCCTCTATTTATACTACTACTTCCTAAGGCTAAAGTATAAATAAAAATTAGGACACAAGTCTCTACTTATTTATATTTTAGTTCCTCTTCTAGAATACTAGTCTATAGAAATTTAAAGTTTTCTAAGATATTTTCTAATGCATTCTAGAATCATCTATTAAAAGATTTAAAAAAATTCTAGAATTTTTCACTAACCTCTCCATAACTCTACATTCTTGCGGCTCTTCATTTTTATGCCAAATTTGAAGGTTAATGTGGCGGGTCATGACACATAATTTAGAAGAACTTATATCAATTAACTAGATACTTTTATATCAGTTATCAAAATAAAACTTATATTAAGCTTTGTCTCAGCCTCATCGAAATTGATTCATCATAGTATTAATACTTTTACTGTTAAAGAATGACAAAAAGTCCCAATGGTTAATGAGATGTGTGGACTCTTTATAAGCTTGGACAATTTTCTTCCCTTAAAGCTAGCTTTTGGGGTGTGAGTTAAGCCCAAGACCTAATTTAACATGGTATCAAAGCAGGACCCGTCTCACCCGATGTTAGGGCTCCAAAAATCAAAATTGTCCACGTAACAGATGTTAAGCACAAATCAGACATCATTGATTAATATAATGAAAAACTAACTTTTGAAATGTAAGTTAAGCATAAGAACTAATTAAACATTTACTATATTGGTTGTCATTTTGGATTTATTTTTAATTTGTTAGTTATTTTTATAGGTGGGAACTCTTCAGTGGAACATATTATATTTTAACTTTATGTAAGTTAAGCATAAGAACTAATTAAACATTTACTATATTGGTTGTCATTTTGGATTTGTTTTTAATTTGTTAGTTATTTTTATAGGTGGGAACTCTCAGTGGAACATATTATATTTCAACTAAAGTTAACTAGATTGGGTGTTAAATAACTTATACTAGTTTTTTTTAAAAATAAAAAAATAAATAAATGAATTTTAGTATATAAAAGGCAAAAAGTCCTAGGAGAGTATGATGTCTCCTTGGCCTAAACTAATATTCACCTCATTTTCCCTACAAATCAGCTGTATTTGACACTCACACACCATCCTCCTAACAAATCTTCCATTCTCTTCTCACATATAATCTAGGTAAAAATTTACCCACATCAACTCTAAAAATACGTGATATATATTTGTCCATAAATATTTAATCTCTTCTAGTTATAATAATAATAATAATAATAATGTATTATTATGATGTTATTAAATCATTTTACTATAGTAAATTTTAGTGTAAATACCCACCCTTGGCAGCAATTACCATGAAGCCTCCAACATCTCCATTGAAGATGAACAAGGACTCTGTTTACATCAAAAAATCCCCTTCATCCTCATTCCTAAACCAGCATCGTCCCGTTATAATTTATACTCATTCCCCCAAAATTATTCATACGAATCCCTGTGATTTTAGGGCATTAGTCCAAAAACTCACTGGTCTTTCGAGTCATAATTCTGACCCAAATACTAATTATCATGACAACAACAGTTGCGATGCCGGGATTGATTCCTCATCAGCTGCCATTTTTGATCCGCTTAACACTAATCAAGATACAAATAATATCGGAACTAATTCATGCTGCATTCCTCAGGAACGAGCCATTTTTGATCTGCCTCACACTATTGATGAAAATGAAAATGAAGATACTGACTTGGATTTCCTGTATTCAGCTTCTTATGAACCACTCTGTAATTATACCGATTCTTTCTACTTCAAATAGATTTTTTAGGACTATTTTTTGTTTGAGGTGTAATAAATGTTCGATATTCCCTTTTTGATTTCAGGGGAATGCATGCAGTATTCATTTAATCATCTATACTTGCTTTTGTTTTATCATCAAGTTAATAATATACCTTTACAATTTTTTTATTGTTGATAAAAACTTCACGAGAACATTGTGAAAGGGAAAGTGGTAATACCTGAAATGACATTCGTTAGAGCTTCAACTTCACGAAAATATTATGAAAGGGGAAGTGGCGGAACCGGAAATGACATTCTTTGGAGCTTTGAGTCCTGTTGGGAGTCTTGGCCCGGTACACTCACGAGTCACATATAAATGCTTTAAAGTTCGATTGGAACATTATGAAAAGGTAAGTGGTGGTACCAAAAATGACATTCGCTGGAGCTTCGAGTCCTGTTGGAGTCTTGGCCCAATGACTCGCAATTCAGGACATAAGTAAATTTCATTTCTCGTACACTCACATATAAATGCTTTAAAGTCCGAAACTTGACCAGGCACAAGTAAATTCCATTTATCGTGCACTCGTATAAATGCTTTATTTTAGGTGAGGATCTTTCAAATATCTCTACCAATAAAGGTAAATCTACCCACAACCATTACTACTCATGCTCCACATTGGGATTACATCGGATAAGATGTTTTACACTCTTTATATGGCTGTGAATGATTTTGCAGTTCAAATTTCACTGAGGACAATAAGATCATGAAGATAATGATGAGAATCTCAAGTTAACCAAGCCAATTGTTTCTCTAGATGATTTAAAATCAAAATGTTGATAAGAAATCCGATCTTATAACCCATGATTAGTAGGATACAACACATAATAAGTTTTCAATACCCAGAGACAGTGATACAACACTAAAAGCAAACGTTAATGGAGACCTCACCAAGGCCAGTGAAAGTTACATCTTTATCTTCTCTCATATAATACAAATGTACAACCACAGGACATACTAGGATATTGCTCCGCGGATGGATCGTATGTCAAAAGATTTTCATCATCTCTTCTTTTTGTCTTCTTTGGCTTTTTCAAGAACTACAGGAGCCGCAGGGATACTGAACCACCATTCCCTTAGTCTTCTAGACCATTTTTCTGTGCTTGCTTTCCGGATAGGTGAATATCTTGTGAAGAGTTCCAGAAAAGTCAGAAGGATTATGTATTTCAAAGGTAAGAATGCCAGAACTAGTGCCGAAACCAAAAAAACACCCACTAACTTCTCGGTTGCCTGAAATGACAGGAACAAGATATGGTTCACAATTCATATTATCTACATCCAAATAAAAATGCAACTACTGTTAGTCACAGTCAAGCAAAGACATTTTGTTTCGAACTCCTATCACGAGTTCAAATCTGTTATGTGAAAGAAACATCTAGGAACGTTTCATTGTATCATCCTGGTTCAGCCTCAGCAGCAAACCAAAGTTTTCAGATTAAAAAAAGAGTAGGGTTCAGTAACCACAAGACTTGTTCATTCATGACAGTTAAGAACCTCTATTTACTAAACAACTTTCCTAATAGGATTGTTCCAGTAACAGAAAACTAGTAAAATTTGCACAAACCTGTGGGAAGATAGACAAAAGTAAAGCGCGAAATTTGAGAAGAACAATGTTTCCATCCTGGATTAGTTCTTCAGCTTGAGATATTGCATTTTGAACAGCCAAAAGTTGCTCCATGGCATTCATTGAAGGTGGAACCATTACTTTTAGTTCATCAACTGTCTTGCCTTGACTTAAGCAGCGATTTATTACCAAAAAGACGGCAAAAAAAGTTAGCAACAGTGCAAAGGCATAGCACAGCCATCCCCTGCAACCAACAAAAAGAGAAAGAAAGAGGACATCAGTGAATATTTTCCAACCACCACATTTTCAACAAATTCCATCCATGCGCGGGAGTGTACAAGGAAACATAGCAGAATACCAAAAGGCAGTTCAACAAAGACTATCAGGCCAGCTTTTAGTTGGAAATGCCACAAATTAAGGGAACAGAACAATGAATTTTGAGAACCAGGGTGTTTCTTAGGACTTGAAAAGACTGAATAATTAAAGAATCTAATCGGACACATTACACAGATAAAATTAACTAACTACCTGACAATAATAAATGAGAAAACAGAACAGAAAATCATGGACTTCAAAGGGTCTTCCCAGTAAGCCAGAAGAAGAATCCAATTCCCAAGTTGCATCATAGGAGAGAGCAACTCCTGCATGTCAACGAATTTCAAAGGATTAGTATGTGAGGTAACTCAGTTTAAAGATACAGCTCAAAACGAAAATTTGTTGTAAAGAGATACTCCAACGGTTCTGTTCAAAAAAATTGTGCTATGTAAATATTAAGGCAGCTTCATAAAAGTTCTTAAAGACCCACTCCCGATTTCCTCAATAAAATGGCAAAATAATTCAGTTTATCCTCTTTCACCCTACTGTCTCGTTTGAAGCCGCAATAGTTATAATTACCTTCATCACTGCCAAATTGGTGTCAAGACCATCAACTTTCACCCCATCAACCGTAGCTTGTGCTTGCACCACCTTTCTATAGTTGCTTCTGGATTCCTTAACTGCTTTTTCCAAGGGAGTCATCTCCCCCACAGAAATTTCACCCACAACAATTCCTGGCTCATTAGGAACATGCGAACTTGTCCCAAAAACTAAACCCAAGTTGGAAGCCAGGGCTGAAGCTGAAATTGAGTACATTCTGTTTTTAGGTTTGGGAGAGTTTGTCCTCTCCAGTGCCCTCACAGTTGACCTATCTGCAATTGTTTCTAGTATAAGGTCTCCTCCAGGAAGTTGATCACATACATTGAACATAAGAAGATCCTCATAGCAAAGTGAATTTTTGGAGCTCATATCTTTCAGGGCTTGTACTCGCAATATGCCAAATATAGCTTTTAGAAGCGCCTCATCACGCTCAATTCCAGTAATCTGGAATTTAAGTATGAACTGATGCACATGTAGAACTTCCCGAATAATGGCTAACCAATAGTCACGGCGTGTATGTCCTTTAAGCTCAGGAAATTCCATTATAACAGGTTCTGACCTACAACATTTTCCAAAGACCAATAACAAATTTGAAGGCTGCATGAACTAGAAAATAATCTTATAGTGTAGAAGAAATACACAAATTCTGCAGAGAAGTATGACCCACACAGGAGTCATCGTGTGGCATGCCTTACAAGGAAACTGATTTGTACGAGACTGCTTTATCAAAGAGTCTTGTGCCCCATGGTCCAGTTAGTTCAGGTCTAACAATCTGGTTTAAGTCATCTGACAGATCATATAACTTTGGCTTGTCATAAGATACAACACGATGTGCCTCAAAGTAGAGAGCATGATCCGTCAAAGTTAGCCGACCTGAAAATCACAAATACATGACCATGAAATATATCAACTAGGCTAATAGATACACGTAATCCGCACAAGTTCCAAATGATATCATCCCTTTCATCTCTGCAGATCAGAATTTCCAGCAATTAAAACCATTACTACTCGCAAAAACATACCAGGCCATGCTGAAATTCCCACATGTTCAAGCACTGGCTGGGTTGTCACTGTCCCATCTAGCTCCAGAATTTTCTCCCCTCTTGTTGTACGTAAGGCAGACAGATGGGATGACTCAGACTGGTTCTTAAATTTTTTAATTGCCCTGAAAAAGTTCCCAAACAAGCAACATTCTCAACCAATGATTATGAAGGGGCTTCTCATAAGATCTGTAATGAAACAGTTAAGAAAAGATACGCATTATGAATCACATCACTTCACTACACTTCAAAGTAACTAACTAGACCACTACAATCTCACCACTACGAAAGTATTAACCGACAATAGTGGAACTGCAGGATAACCTTATGCAAGCACACATAGGCTTATAGGATAGTCTTCCCGGCCAAAACACATTTAAACTTGGCACTCCTCTCTCAAGTTGAACTTAGGTAAGATATAAATGATAACAAAAGAAGCCTATAATCTATAATTTAAGCATTCCCAAAAAAATAAAGTAGAAGGAGCACACACAAATAGATATAGAGGGGCACTCATTCACTCTTTCATTTTGTGTGTGTGTAGGACCTGTAGGTAGGGGGAGGGGGGGAATTGTGTCAGTTCTTCCATTCAATGTGAGGAACCTTTTCAACTCTGCCTCCAGGCGCGCTATAATATACCAGATCTATTAGCTGTTAACAGCATACCACCAAGGGTAACATGCAGTATACTCAGAAAATGGCAACACGAATCCAGTTTATATAGTACCTAAAGCATGTGTATATATAATAACAGGGCTAAACAGCATTTTGTGATCCCTTAAATAACTCAAGTACCTATGTCATGTGTTGGTAGAATTGTTTGTGTTATTTACCTTGATTACATTACCCAGGTTAGAAATGAAAATCTATCACTAGAACCTATGATCTGATAAGTTAGTTGGAAGATGAACCACATACTGAAGCAAGCAGCAAAAGGCATAAAGATGATAAAACTCGAAAAGCATGGAACTCAAGAATTTGCAAGTAATAAAATACCGAAGTTGGTATTACCTTTCCAAATAGGTCAAGTACTTGTCATAGACTGAGAATAGAAGTCGACCGCCTGTTGATGATGTAAGCACTCCGAAAATACTATCAGTAACTATCGCATTGGAAATTATAGGAACTGCTGAAGCAATACGGGAAAAGGCCTCAAGACCAGCAGTGACATCTTCATCCATCTACAATTAAATGGAAAGCCAGTAAATAACCCAGAAGACACAGGACAACAAGCAATACGTGACTAATGGACTAGTCAAGAATTTCATGATTAGTCCACACAACCAAGGAAGGTTCAGTGGTGTTCAACAAACTAAAAAATCATTCTGTGGAATTAAGGAAAACATGGGAAAGCAATTCATACACTGGCAAAAGGCTGACTTGAAGCTGCTGGAAACTCCCATGCAACCATCATGTCAAATGTAAGGCGTCGAAACTGTTTGTCGCCTAGGTAACCATTTACTTGTATAGACAAGGCAAGAGCCCTGAAGCAACAGTATTCCAAGAAGTTCCTTGCATACTGAGATTTATGCTTTATGGATTCAGAAGCCTCGGCCTCAAAGTTTTCTTGAAGTTGACTCATGGAAATACCAAAGATTCTGCATAGAATCAGATTTTGGTTATTCATATTACGCAATCTAAATTGGAACTTGGCAACCAACTCAATGCTTTTGTAACAGCTAAATGCATCCGTCAGCTCACTCGCTGAATCTACTAGCGGCAATCAATATTGTTAATAATTACTACACTGTATCTAGATACAACATCTCAGTTAAACAAAATGGAAGTCCTGTTTGATATTTGGCATATTATATTCACCTAAAACTGCAGAAGCCTGAAAGACAAGTAAGAATCGGAAACTTACTTTGAGCATTTTCGGATAACTACATTTGCAGCAGGGGATAGCTCTGGCAACCAACTCTTGCCAGTGGATGAAGACCCCATCTCATCTGAATCTTCATCACATGAACTCGGGGTTTTAGTCAACCATTTAAACGACCCCTCTTTAACCAGACCCTCCAGCATAGTTCTGGTTTTACTAACCATTGCTATTCAAAAAACCTCCTCCTCAGATCATTAACCAACAGGAATCACCCACTTAAATCCTTACACAAACCACTGCATTACGAAAAATCAACAATATGAAACACCCCCAAGCTTTCGCATAACACCACAAACAAGAAACACTAGGTCATGAATACTCTCCAAAATCACTTCTTTCACAGATGCCCATAGTCGAAAAATCACAGTTAAAGACTAACTCCTGAAACTCTAATCAACTATTAAAAGTGATAAACATCAATTTCTTTGATACGGGTCAATTCAATACTTAAAAGGGGTTTTATAAAAAAAAACTCCGATAACCCCAATAGATTGTTTGAAGAGCTGAGTAAAGAGCATATACCTGTAAAATCAATGGCAGAAGTGTGAATGAGAAATAGGGAAAGTTAGTTGTGCGAAATCGGGCAGTGTAAAAGCAGATATTGAGGTCCACCGACTCATATATTATTATGATTATTTTTTGATAAGAGATAGAGACAGGGAATAGGTGAGTATGTGCGTGTCTTGTTGTAGATGGAAAGAGACAAAGACTAATCAATCAGATCGATAATGGCGTCGTCGTCTTGTGAGAGTTAAAACTCTGAGATGAAACTGTGAGAAAGCAGCTACGGTTATAGAAAAGATTTTGGTGGTGTGAAGTGTGAACCACGCAGATAAAAGAAAAAGTATGTAATTTTGGGGACAATACTAATTTATATTTGAACTAATAATAAGTTTTGAGTATGGATTATTCTACTGTTTTTGTTAATATTGTTAATTTTTGCTGATGTTTATGGTTATTATTATGTTATAAGGATACTTTTTAATATGTAAATTTAATAAATTTTAAAATTTATGATCATAAATTAACTTTATTGAAAAAAAAACAATATTTTTCCTATATTCAAATATATAATAAAACTTCATCAAAAAATAATATACTTTAAAAAAAATTTATCAAACCTGGTTAAAAGAGTTGAATATGGCTTTTGGAGAAATTAATTTTGGTGAGATTGGTTTTAGAAATCTATGGATTAAGCACACAATAATTTGAATTTGGTAAAAAATTTTACATCATTAGTTTGATCATTTGTAGGAATTATCCGTAATAACGAACTTGCAAAATGAATCTAAATGAATCCTTTTATTATAGAGATATTCGTCGTTCCTCTTCACCTTAATTGTTATTTGAACAAGTAAAAATTTTATCTTGGTCCGAGTGGGAATATCATTTCTATTCTGCATGTCCATGGAGTTTTGGAAAATCCAAACATAGATAAAGAGGTAAAAAATTCTCGAACGAATCGCATTCCTTCGTATACGTCAGGAGTCCATCGATGAGAAGAGACTGTAAATCCTTAACATTTCCCCTTCTTACTAAGACTACGTAATGTTCTTGTGAATTATGGCCAATACCAAGTATATTGACAACTTTACGTAAGGCAAAGTTTGATTATTTTAGGGTGATAGTGAAAAAGTTGACAAACAAGTCACCCTTCTGGCCACTCTACGACTACTTATTCAATTCTTTTAAATTCATTGGTTCCTTTTTCGCATTCGAGAATTCTCCCCTTCTTCCACTCCGTCCAGGAGAGTAACTATGATTAATTTAGTCACGTTTTCATGTTTCAATTGAACACAATCAACTTTTTATTATTCTCAAAGGATAACATTATTCTCTTTACCAAACATATGCGAAAGAAAGAAATCAATTTTGGTGAAAATTGGGTCTAGAAATTTATGGATTAAGCACAAGATAATTTGAAATTGGTAAATTTCAACTCATTCAAGTCTTAATCCATATTAAAGAAATTTCAATTGAGTTTAAATTTCAACCCGTTTTAAAAATCTTTATTTCTATTAGTATACTGTCTATTCTCATAATAATTTTATGAATTATTATCTATTTTATATTCATTTGTAACTTGTTTTTTCTCTTGAGAGGAAATATAGAATATGGTCATAAATGTTAAATAACAATATGTTAAAATTATCGAAATTAAATAGATTTATTGGGCAACTTGTGATTCAACATCATTTTTAAGTTTATTTAAACCCATAGTAAATTCAAACATATTATAATCTAATCTGATTTTTATTTCGACTAATTTTAATATTAATTCTTTAATTTCAACCTAACCTGTCTACTTAACACACCCCTAAATTACTAACCAAACAAAATTGTATCAAAATTTATCAAGACGCTTATCAGTTTACTAGAAAAACACCAAAGAAAATAATAAAAATAAATCAAAAGGTCTTCTACAAAACTTAATGATACAAAAACGTGTGTTTGTTTTGTAGTTTGATAGCTCACGTGTTCTACACATTATCGTCTCCTTTTATTTTGATTGCGAAAATTAATTGAAATTATTTGTATACTCCTTTATTTTATTTATTTATGTCAAAAGTTGATTTAGCTATTTTTAATCTTGTAGTTAAAGCTGCAACTACCTATTTCATGTTTTTTATCTTGCAAGTTTAATATTATTTGAGGCGTAAAGAATTGTGTCAGTGGTCTGATGATTTTGTTTCTTTTTTTTACGAAAGAAACATGAAAAAGTTAGATTTTGATTTAGGTAGCAGAACTATAAAATTGATATTGGTTTGATTTGTTTAGATTTAATTTTACATTTTAAAAATTTAATACTACTTGATTTGATTTTAATTTTATTAAAAAACAACTAAATCAAACTGATAAATTAGATATAGAAATTTTATAATTATTTATATATTATTCATAAATAAGATATAAATATTTTTTAAAATTTTAAGTAATTTTGGTATTTTGAGTTTATCTTTTCTCAAGTCTAACACGTAAATTTTAGTCTATCTATAACAATTACAAGTCCAAGTCCATTAAAATTTATTAATTAAGTCTTTGCCTATCATATCTTACATAAAAAAGTTATTCTTTTCTTAATTGATTCACTTTATTTTGTTTAATAATAATATTTAATTACTTAATTGAACCAACAATAGAAGATTTTCAGTGAATCGTTCGTTAGACTCGTCTAAAAAAGCAACTCATATATTATATGAGTAGTGAAAGAGGTTTCTTGATTGAGTATACTTCTGTGGATAATACTCCATGCCAGTATTTGGTGTTGAGGTTTATTCCAAGTTTAGTATCCACATATTTTCGTCTAAGAATTTGAATATTTTAACTCGTAGGACTTCGATTGATGCCTGTGGAAGGATGTTTTATACATACACTTATGAGAGAAATGATGTGATTGACTGTGTTCTTGCATTTGATCCCTTCACAAGTAGGCGTTTGGCCATGTAATATCATATTACGATATAGTATCATGAGATAGAATCAGCGTTTAGATTTTAATATAAAAATTGACCCATAAATTTATATTTTGTTATAACAATACTCATATTTTATATCTACTGATCATTTATTTCACATGTAAATAAAATTTATAATCACATCATTACTTTTTTAAAATGTTTATTCTCATCGACATAAAATTTATTATTCTCACTAAAATATAGTCACTTTAACTCACATTTCACGATTCTTGAGTAATAAAATCTTGAAAAGCCAGTGAAAGGTGTTTCATTTTTACTCAAATATATTGATGAAACAATTACTTAAGTGGAGTACAAATAACTTTGTGATAATTTATTATACAATTTTATAATTTTTTATTTATTTGATAATATTGAATAAACAATTGGGGCTGTTTTAGTAGTTTTAGAAGTTATGAGATTTTAAAGTTTATAAAAAAAAATATATAACACTAAAATTTTATATCGCATATCCAAATAAAACTTCAATTTCATTTCATGATTTCATATCATGATTCCATTTGATACCATACCGCATGATCAAACGGGTCCTGATAATCCTTGTCAATTTCTATGTGTTATTGATTTTCCACCTGAGGCTCGTGATAAACCTTGTTTGACTTGTAAATTGGAGGTGTGTGAAGGTCGTCTACGGTTTGCTCAAATAGTTCTCCTACCAAGTATTAGTATATGCAATTGGTATATAAATTGATTGCAAAAAGATTACTTTAACTACTAATAAAATTTCTACGATACGATTAGAATTTTAGTTTGATTTTGAAGTACTTTTATGATAAAAAAAATATGAATTGATATTTCAATAATTGGAGAAAGTTGTTATGTATTAGTTACAGAAAATCGGAAGTGATGGGCATGAATATCAGATTTTAGTAAGAAATATGTGAGAGAGGATGAGAATTGAATTTATTTTATTTTTATATTTTTACAGAAAATCAGGGATTAATCAACCAACCAGAGAAAATCAGGGAATTAATATTTGGGAAAATTGTATATAATAGCAAACTAATAACCTAAATTAAATAGAATAGCTAGGGTTTGATTTAATTGTGCTCCATAACAAACATTAGCTAAAATTTGCCAGCGTCTCTCTCCCAAAAATCTCGCTCGCCACTCTCCATTCTCGCTCGTCTTTCTCGCTTTATACACAGAAGTGTATAATTTTGTTTCTGTTTTGTATAAAGCGAGAGAAAATTGTATATACACATGTAAAAATGTATATCTTCGTGTTATACACTTAATTATACAATTTACAAACATTTTACTTCAAATATTGCAAAGAAAAAGACCAAAGAATTATACAATTGTGAATTATACAATTGCAGTGAAATACAATTTTCTTTAGCTTTATACAACAGAAATGTATATATTGTGCTTCTGTTTTTGTATAAAGCGAGAAAAACATATATCTTCTTGCTATACACTTATAATTATACAATATACATACATTTTAATTCGATTCAACTGTATGCAAAACAAATTATACAATTGCAGCGAAATAGGCCAGCGAATTATACAATTTAGGCCAGCGAATTATACAATTGTATATGTATAGCAAATTATACAGTTTTATGTTTGCTATGGAGCGCAATTATGCAAATTTTGTTATATCATACAGATATGAATTTTTTGTTTGCTATATGTGAAAGTTGCTCATATTTGCCATTCATTTCAAAACTCTTTATTTATGAAAAAACGAAATTAATTTATTAATGAGGTTAATAATTAAATTAGTTATATTTTTTTCGTTTTAACTAGGTTTTGATTGAACTCTACTGTTATATATTGAAGAACTAGAAAGTCCTGTAAATTTGTTATTTATGTTTTTTTTTCGCCGGATTTCATCTTCTTCCGACCAAAATGTGGAAGATTTGTAATCGCTGGTTATCTCTAATCTCATCTTTAATACCTCTCTAATTCGCAATTACGACAAAAGAAATCTCCGTCCCTTTAGTTTTCTTTCAATTAAATGGAAAGTTTTTTTTATTTTTGTACAAGTGAAAAGGACTTAATTTTATGTTCTAGAAAGATATCTGGTAGTATTTATTATTCTAATGTTACTTGTGATAACTTTGATACTGCCAATATATATTGAACTGACAATGCTCTCACCAAATAATCTGTTTCAGCTTTGTACTCCACACTTGACTATATTAAATATTTATTTTTAAGTCACTCACTCAACCCCATAACCCTTTACGACTTCATATTTCAGAAACGGAGATTTCTTTTGTCGTGATTGCGATTATGAATTAGAGAGATATTAATACAAGCATAACTAATATAAATATTATTTAAGCAAGTATCGTTAATACACTCTACCTAAACACGACCTTTATATAGGTCTCTTTTGTA